TGATGGATATTTTCTTTCCGTTTGAAACTAGCCTATCTACATCAGGAAAATGTCCTCGAACTTCTTCAGCCACTCTATGCAATGCATGAGCGAGGCAAGTAATATGGACCATTTTCGGGTAGAGGATTCGAAGTCCTTTGGCAGTCTTCTTTATGTATGGAGAGGCATCTGTTACTAGGAGAAGGGCATTATTTCGCGGTATTCCATTTGGCCCCAACAACTTCATGGAATTATCAAATAGGACAGCTATAGTCGAATGATTTGCTCTTTCGAGAACTTCACAGTCAAGAAGAAATCTCTCTCCAGGTTGATCTTGTTTCAGGGTCCCAACTATAACATTCGCAATATACCGCCCATCTACGTCAGAAGTCTCGTCCAAGGAAACCCATATCTTGTTGTCAGCAACAGATGTTCGAATCTTATTTAACATATCTTCATAACATGTAGAGAGATAATTCTTTCTTAACGTCGATTCACTTGGGATAGGATGACTAGTGTATGTCTCCAAAAATTGTCTGAAGTGCTGATTATGCAATTTCTCTAATGGAATATTCGAAGATACCATCCACTGACACAAATCGTTCGAAAATTCCGACCCATTGTTCGTTGAAGAAGGAGAAGAAGAAGAAGAAGAAGAAGAATTAGTGGAACTGTTTTTAAACAACAAACTTTGTCTGCTATCCTTTGTAGATAATCTGCTTAAACATTTACCATGTTTAAAAGTTTTACAATGCTGCTGCACAGTAAATCGCTTTTCTGCCGTAACTTTCACGCCACACAACTTACAATAAAATATCTTGCCATCGGTACTAAACACTTTTTCACCAAACTCCTGTACAAAACTACGCAACTTTGCGCTCCTTGAACTACATGTACTCACTTTAGGCATTGTAAAGTCAAACTGAAGTCTTATAACGCCCTCCACATATATAAATAGAATACTTCTAAGCCCTCCAAGAAAGAATGGGATGTATATACCTTATAGTAAGACGGAGTACAATAGGAGAATACCCGTTACACTTGCCTCCCTCCTGCCTCGACTGGGAAAGGCCGGCTTGCCAGGTCATAAATGCTGCATTTCACAAATTTTCGCCTTTGTAACTGCAAGTACAGTCCAGTCAAAAATATAGATTTTATGCGAACTTCATGTACTAGAACTCTATTCCACATTGAAGCAACAGTCCACCCTGAAATTTATTTTGTAATACTAAACATTATGGAGCCGAAATTTTACATTATATCAAAGAATTGTTTCTAAAATGACAAAAATATGACCTTATTTCAAAATTATGCCAAAATATGCTGTAAAACCAATAAAACTCTAAAATATGCATTTATATGCACAATAAAAACGACATAATTTCAATGAGAATGACTGGAAACATGCATAATTACATTTAAAAATAGGAATAAACCCTAGGAAAAAAATATGACATGTCATAGAAATCCGGGCCCTACTGATGACTGATAAAGCTGTTCACATCACTTCAGGAAGCTGAGTAATGAGACAATGGGGACACAGGGCATACCACAAACTCAGCACTGGAAATAGTTGCAAGAATTATTTGGCAGTTTTATTGAAATGTATGGCATCCAGATTTATTGTCACCACACTTTTATTTCTTGATATTTTTTTAGAGATATAAATAGAAAAATTATTCATATATTTGAAGAACAGAAACAAAATACTGAGACATGCATACAGAAATTACTGGCAACTCTTCACCATGAAGAGAAAATGCATCCAGCACCAAATTTTAAAAACAATTCTAATTTCTTTTATACATTCAAAAACTGTTAGCATTGGCTTTCATGACTCTTTGATCATCCTGTACAAGAAGGTAACTGCTTGAAAGATTTATAACAATGCCATCATCCCATCCTTATCCTAATTAATTTAAATTCTTAAGTAACTTAGGGGTGCCTACCCCAAATGATGGCAAGTATATCTGTAAACAGCTTTTGAAACTTACTGGTAAAATGCTGATTTTGGAATCCTGATAGATGGTGAAGAGAAAGGTTTAACTGTGTTGGTGCATGTGTATCAGTTTAGAACATTGGCACATAGCAACCAGTATGGGGATGCTGCAAGACACAATCAAAGACACATTATGGCATTTATATGCTTCCTCCTCTCTTTCTCTCTCCCTCCAGCCCTGTGGACCTTGGCCACTTTTTCAGTTTCTTAATCCTGTAGACAGATGGTAGAATGGGGGATTAGCCCATCGCAAGGCTGCTGCCTACATACAAACACAGAATAAACGGACACACACATCCATGCCTTGAATGAGATTTGAACCCATGACCCCAGTGTTCGAGTGGGTGAAGATGGTTCATGCCTTAGACCATGCGGACACTGTATTTGGCACTACCTAACCCTCTACATCATATAATTTTTAAATGTTAATGCGGTTTCATGATTAAGTCTATTTTAAATGAGCCATGTAAAATTATATGGAATTTTCTTTTAACATAGAATGCCTCTGAAGATGGCCATATGAGGCTGAGGGATGTTGGGCTTCATAATAATTTATTAATTAAAACTTAGGTACACTTGATGCTATTCTTGTACTTGTTCAAATTAATATGCTGCTACGTGGAGCAAAGTCCTTGGGAAGCAGCCAGTAGTAACAAGAGAGTCATGAAATTCCTCATTCTTCTATTATGGAACTGAAAGATTCGTTTCCATGGCAAAAGAACCCTTATATACTCCCTCTACTGTGGAAACCAGGCAGCTGGAATAACAGTCAGTATAGTGACTGGCTATGGGCTGGATGACTAAGGGGTTGGAGTTCTGATTCCCAGTAGAATCAAGAATTTTCTAATCTCTATGTTGTCCAGACAAATTCTGGGGCCCACCCAGCCTCAGATCCAATGGGTACAGGGGGCTCTTTCCCTGGGGATAAAGTGGCTGGGCATGAAGTTGACCACTCCTCCATACGTCTTCCTGGCATAGTGCTTAATTAGTTAAGCACAAGGACAACTTTAACTTACTATGGGAACCAGGGTGTATCATCACCAGTTGGCAATGCAGAGCATTATATCAGTACCAGAAAGTTAACTAAGTTCTGTTTTCAGCATAGTTCCAGTGTTCCTGTGCTGTTGGGGAATTCAAGCCTACTTAAACAGTTTTTTTTTTTTTTGTAAGGTTGCCTNTGCCTACGTGAGATATGACATGCCCTTGTTCAATAGCAAATGGACTTTACTATATAAATTGACAGACTCCCCACTTTTCTGCTGTAGATTTCTTGGTTAAACATACAAGTTACTGTTGCATAATATCACTTATGTTGTGTCACACCAAGTAGAACACACAATTCTATATAATCTTCCTAAAGTACACAGTATTCTGTATAGTTTTAAACTCTATGGAAGTGTAATTGTATAACATTTACATTTTTTTAAAAGTATCTTTGTGAGATCACTGGTAATTGTAGTTATTGCAAAACATGCATGTATATTTTTGGGCATGTTTAGTTGTTTTAACACACTCGTGTTTATTATGTTATCAGTATTGAACAGCTGAAGGACAGTAAAAACTGTTGGTTCATTAAACTGGTCATACAAAGAAATGATTTTCCACTTTGTTTACATGTTGAAATATTTTTCTTTCTTAGAAGGAATAAGACTTAGTATGACCCTCTTTATTACAGGTTGCTTAATTATCAAAAGTCAAGATGTCTGTGGACTGGAATTCTCATGAGATGTCTGTCTGGAAACAAAAAGCAAGAAATGAGCAGCAAGCTTATTTTAATTTGCCTGTTGCTCATCAATGGGCAAATTATGGACAATCAGATTATAATAATCTTAGAAGAAACATTGGATTTGCTATGTTTGGTTTGCCAAGAGAAGAACCAAACAAGATCTGTGATTACACGGGATATAACAAGAAAGAGCTGTCCTGTATAAATACAGTTTTTGATGTTATCAAGAATTATAAGCAAGAATACAAAAACAAAGAGGTCATTTGTGTGCGTTTTATTTTTGTTTATGCAAAAATAGGAGATAATGATGCAGAATTCTATGTAATAGGTGTTCGTAAATATGTTTCACGTTTTCGCATTGAAAACATTTTTATTGATTCTTGTGCCCGAGTGTACAAGAATTGGCAAGATTACTTGAAGAACAATAAACTACCTGAATGTGCACTTTGCTATCCAAGGAATGGCATGTATTCTGCAGTGAATGGACAAGTGCAAGTTGAATTTGGAATTTCACCAGCTGGCGAGATCAGTAGCAAGGTTCTGCAAGGCTTAGACATAACAGGAGGAGTGCTTGGATTAGGTGCTTCAGGGATTGCAGTTGCATCATTATTTATGCCTGTGGCATTTCCATTCATTTTAGGTCAGTAATGGATGAGGTGATGTTAGATACCAAAATCATATTAATGGGCTGAGATACTGAAACTGTTGAAGTATTATATCAAACATATGCAGCTGCTGGGTGATTTTAGAGAGTTGGGCAGTAATCACAACTTGACAGTCAGATGGGATCTGATTATAAGATTATAATCTTACTACAATTACAAACTTTTTTTTTCTTGTTATGTCTGAACTTAATATTTTAATTAACCTGGCATTGTCTAAGCCCCTAGTTAGTTAGTTATTTATTGGAGAGGGTGGGTTTCCCCATGCACTTAGACCTGTATTGGTCTATTGTGCTTCCCTCTATGATTTCTACCAGTCTCTATATCCTACCGGAACTGGTGCTTACCATCAGTCCCGCCCAGCCAGCAAGACCGGCTCTACTAGCTGAGAGGTATCTATAATGCTTCCCCCCATCTACCAGAGATATTAGAGACTGCTGTTGGGCGGGAAACGTCCGTAATTTGGCTCAGTGACCTCCTTTGGAGATATGAGGTTCTTTTACGTGCCGTAAAGCTACGACACGGGACCCATGGCTTAAATTCCCTCCCAGAGGACTTGTTCCCTGAATTTTTCCACCCTTAAAAATTCGACGACCTCCGCCGGGTATTTGAACCCACGTTCTACGAGTCATGAGGTGGGAACGTTACCTCTAGACTATGGAGGCCGCTGTCTAAGCCTTCAACAGAAATGAGTACCAGTAATCTTCCTGGGTTAAAGAGTTGACAACCTCACCATCATCCCATCATCTACGAGTCATTTGTCTAGAGAATGTGGGAGCCTTGATGTCTCAACCCTACGGGCCTCCATCGCCTGTTACAGGGATTGCTTTAGGAGCCATAGAAATAGACATCATATAGAAAACCAACAACAAAGCTATTAAAATAAACAATATATTGTAACCGTCCAAACCTTTTAATACTCTTTAATGGACACTATGTTCCACTTTAACCATTTCAATAGAGTGACTGATTTATAAGGGAGACCCATCCATTAAGAAGTTGACATGCTTTTCGCATTGAGACAGGAACAACTGCCTTGTTCCGTTACCTGCAGCTTGGGTGACCGCTAAAGGGTCGAGGCCCATTAGGAAAACACATGTCTGTTGTTTTCCTAAAATGTAAATGTTGTTTTGCTAATAGGGTAGCTGTTATAAAAGTGTCTTCGAAAGGGTGTAATTAGACCCTAAACTAAGAAATAACCGCTTTCACATGTAGGGTTCCGGGTTCACTATCTTTGGATCTCTTTATTCTAAAAGTTAGTAATGTGATTGTCTAGTACTGATGGTATGATGAACTGGCAGTTAAAATCAGCCATTAGAAAACTATTCTTGTCTGGGAGAAAGGCCGTCGGTTCAAATCCCATACAGTGGATGAGGTGACGCTCCCGCAGAATAGAGTGGGCAGAAGCACTTGGCATATTGAATTCACCAGAGGCAGACGTCATTTACCTGCTCTCTCCAAGTTTATCTAAATTTAACAGTCTTTATTTGGTTTGATTCATCTTTGATAATAATAAAAGGGCACATTACTCCCTACTTGCCAATAAAGATATAGTGTTTGCTTCTGAATTAAACAATTTGTGATTAAGCAGAAATAGAGTATTTTATTTCTATCAGTGGACTAGCTTTAAATGTGTAGTCTCCTTGTCGCCCCAGTTATTACCGTGACACAACCCTGAGAAGAGTCAAAAGTGTTCTACCGAAGCGGGCAAATAAATAAGTCAAGTGTTCTACCGAAGCGGGCAAATAAATAAGTCAAGTGTTCTACCGAAGCGGGCAAACAAATAAATAAACATAAAGATAGATAGGCAACGGTCACGAGAAGTGGTGAACAACGGTTGTAAGAAGTGACAGCCGAAGTGCGGTTGTAATATCTTGTCAGTCCAGTGAACTGGATCCACAGACTACTAAAATCATCATTCAATAAGTTAAAGAAGCCTGAGTAATTCAGTGCCATTGTTGGTGCTGCTGAAAATAATGGCTATTAAAAAGAACGAATAAATTTATATAACCAAATAAGAATAAACAAAACACCAGTGTACAAGCAGTGCAAAAGCAAAAATGTGTAACATTCACAAACTCAAAGAATTATGACTGCTGTGTGTTCACAAAACCGTTTTAAAAACACAAATATTAAAGTGACCTATAAAAGAAACCAGTACACATGGAAGTGTATGTGGTCTGTCCAAAAAGGAACCGAACTTTCTTTTTAAGACATTTATTGATAAGCTTATTACTTAATAAGACTAGTCTCCTTCAGAGTACTCCCCTCCACTGTCTATACACCGCTTCAGTATTTTTCCCAGTTCTGGAATGCGTTTTGCGGTATAGCACATAGGTCCCATAGTGAATTTTCTTCTAGCTCTCCTACCGTCTGAAATCAGTGACCTTTCAGAGTGAATTTAAACTTTTGGAACAAAAGTCTGCAGGGGCCAAATCTGGATAGTAGGGCACTTGGGGGATGACAATCATCTCTTGCTTTGCCAAAAATTAATGGATGAGGAGCGACGTGTGAGCAATTGCATTGTCATGGTGCAGCATCCAGGTCTTGTTTCTCCACCCCTCAGACCTCTTCATTCACTCTGCCTCCCTCAAATGCTTCATGACTTCCAAGTAAGACTGTCCATTGACTGACCACGTGGAACAAACTCATGAACAATGCCCTTCCCATAAAAAAAATAACACCTTCACATTTGATCGACTCTGATGTGTTTTTTTGGTTGCGGCGATGATGTTCCCACCCACTGCGATGATTGAGCTTTTGTTTCGATATAGTATCCGTACACCCACGTTTCATCACCTGTTACGACATTTTTCAGAAAGTTTTTGTCAGCATTTGAATGATCAAACAGCTACTGACTGACCATGACACGGTTCACTTTTTGCTCGTCTGTCAACGTGGCACAAATTTTGCAGCAACATGATGCATCTCCAGTTTTTCGGCCAAAATTGTGTGTACAAATTTCTACTGATGCCTACTTCTTCAGAAACTTTAGAGACAGTTAGTCGGCGATTTTCACGAATCACAGGGCGCACTTCCTCAACATGATTATTGTCCGTTGATGTGAAAGGCTGTCCAGGTTTGTGATTGTCTTCAGTGGACATTCTGCCCGATTTGAAACGTTGGTACCATTCGTAACATTTTGTACAGCTTAAACAATCCTCTCCATAAGCTTTCTTCAACATCTAAAAGTTTTTGCCAATTTGAAACAGAATTTTATGCAGACGTGTTGCTCTTCAAGGTCCTTCATGGTTAACTTGTAAAAATCGCAAAAGGCACAAGAGACAGGTTCTCTCTACTGCATGTACTCGACTAATTGACGTGTGATTGGCAGGTGTCAGGTTAAAGCTTAAGGTCACCACTACACGGCATCACTGTCATGAGTCACCTGTGTTGGCTCGTTGTTGCCCTATTTAACAAGTTCGGTTTCTTTTTGGACAGACAACATATTTAACAAAATACCCACAAGCAACAAATACAAACACAGGCATATATAAATTAATATGTCTGAGCTGCCAAAAGTCATACATTGGACAGATGGGACTTTCTTTATTCTTCAGATATCGAGAACTTATACATAACATAAAATAGAATAGAGAGGAGTTTGTATTCACCACACACGTTAAACAACACACATTGCTATAGTAAGATAGATGTTACAGAAATGATCAGTCATTCTAAGAAAGGCTGGATCCTGAACACACAAGAAAATGCTCTAGTCTACTAAGAAATGAACAGAGATAGAGGATAAAAATACTAAAGCAGTCATGGACTTAGTAATGGCTTGTAGAGACAAATTCCAGAGGAAAGCATGCAACACCACCTATATGGAAATGGCTAATTTACAGTTATTCATAACACTTCAGTATATCACTTATATAATAGTAACAAAAACCCTGCATTATATTTACAGACACAGACATGGCCTACAACTACAAGACTCAAAGTTCTATGTTGTCAGCTGCAGAATGTTATAAATGCTGTCACTACATCATTCCCGCCACTTCTTTCCATTGCAACTTTAATTTATTTTAATTTTTGTAACTTCTTTAATATCAAAACCTTTCAGCAGTCCATTAACAGTGTTCTGTATTAAGCATTGGATATAATAATAAATATATAGAAGAGTCAGTACACACAAAATTCCTTGGCTTACAAATTGATAACCACTTAAACTGGAAATACCATGTCGATCAGTTGGTTCCAAAGTTAAGTGGGGCATGTAATGCAGTAAGAACTTTGTTGCATGTCAGCAACATTGATACACAGAAATCAGTTTATTTTGCTTACTTTCACTCTATAACGAAGTATGGAATAATATTTTTGGGGAACTCGTCTGACAGCAAAAAGGTATTTACATTACGAAAGAAAATTGTTAAAATCATGGTGGGCGTAAAACCTCAAAATTCTTGAAAAGAGCTATTTAAGAGGTTATAGATCTTACCTCTTCCATGTGACTATATATATTGTCATTATTAAGCTTCATTATTGAACCTTCGGGTTCCATAAAATGCTGGGAAATTCTTGAGTAGCTGCAGAATTTGCGGCTCCTCCAGAAGAGCTCAGATCCATGAGTAAGTAAGCACGCAAGCTTCATTATAAATAACGAACATTTTCAGACCAGTTTGGATGTACACAGTGGTAACACAAGTAACAAGCACCATCTCCATAGACCGGTTGCTAACCTGACATGTTTTCAGAAAAGCGCTTATTATTCTGGCATTAACATTTTCAACAGTCTACCATCTAGTCTCAAAAGTCTAATGAATAAAAAGGCGCAATTTAAATTAGCACTGAAATGATACTAAAATACACACTCATTCTACTCTGTTGATGAATTCCTACTGTTTAAAAATGACACTTCCTTTTAAAAGGTTATGTACATAGCGTAAATGACAGTATTGACATATATATATATATATATATATATATGTGTGTGTGTGTGTGTCAGTTGTACTGTATTTATGGATTTTGTATTTGTATGACTTGTTCCATATCCTACAGTCATTCTGACTTACTTTGGATATGCAGAATGTAATGTATGTATGTATGCTGGTTTGCCTGCTGAAGATGGCCATTAGCTGTGAAAACATGTAAGGCAGAAATGAAGTTACTTGTACATTAATGTAATTAAACTTGATGCATTCATCTATATCAGTATATATAGAGATTGTAAGGGTAAAGATGTCCTCCATAAAGATATACTTATTACACTTTGGTTCAGGGGAAATGAAATCACTTTCTAATCACCATTGTATTATCATTGTTAAGTGGCAAAATAGTTTCCCTGACATAATCTATTAACCAATTCACCTCTTAGTTAAACACATTGTATGTACTGTGTATGTTATAATGCACAGGTGGTTTCACAGCTGGAGCTATATCTCTGCTTTCATGTATGTCTTCATGGCATGGTACTTGTTTAAGGATAGGGGCAACTTTAACTCTGTTTTCCTACCAGTACATATTATGAAGGACCACAGATACTCATATAGCACGAGGGTTATTCCACATCAAATGAATATTTTGAATCTGAACCCTTCAGAATTGAGTGATCGTTGGTGAGATTGTTAGTTCCAGTGGAAATGAGCATTCCAGCCAGTCTTGACATCTTTATGGCCACTTAAATTTTGAGAGCAGGCATCCAAATTTGTCAAACAACTAATTTTGGGCTCAAGTTGTCTTAGAAAAAAATGGCATAACTTCTTCCATAATTGAGATGCAGTGCTCATTTAAAAGATAATAAAATGTCCTTCCCAGTGACCTGTTATGAAAAAGCTGTCCCTTTAACAGGCTGTGGAGGCCCATAGGGTTTTGAGACGTTGAGGCTTCCAGAGAACTGACTCAGAAGGTGGCAGTGAGGTTGCAGCCTTGCATACCCACCGCCATTTACCCCCAGAAAGATTCCTGGTACTCATTTCTGTTAGAGGTTGAGTCCAGGACAGTATTGCACCTGGAAGGTATATGTCAATGGAAAACTCCATTGCCCTCATTGGGTATTGAACCCATGACCTTGCATGTAGCATAGTGCCTCAGCCAACTTGTTCCTGCTCACATGAGTGGGTATCCAGTTTTGGCTTGGCCTCCAAATTATGCATTAATGCATAATTAATTAATGCATTAATGTTGAACATCATGTTCGGTACCCATTTGCAAGACCTGCATATGATGCGTGGTTTAGTTAAACGGTATCACAAAATTTTATGTGGTGCCATGCAGATATTGTGTTAACCGACGTTTCAGAGACATTTCTCTGAAACATTGGTTAACACAATATCTACATGGCTCCACATCCCAGAAGACAACATTTTTCATAGTCACTGCTGTGAAAACCTCGGATGTTATATAGTGTTGATGTTTGTAGGTTGAAGGTATGGTAGAGTGGAGTAGGTGAACTTAGAAGTTTCAGTGATGTGGAATATGTCTGGAGTCTTGGGTTCATGTATGTGTTGGTAGATTTTGAAGTATTAGCAGGAGCACAGGTTGATGTATTAGTGAATGCTTGTGGATGAGTGGTAACAGACAAATGGAACAATTTGAATGGGTGCTGTACAGGAGTGCTTAAAATGTATATGACATGAGCCTATTTAAGAGGAAAAGGTACATGTTTTCAAGCCAAAATCAATCATCCGTAGGTCGAAGGTTTCACATAACTATTATAATAGGGTCCTGAAAAAAATGGTCATTTGGGTTTTTCACGTTACTGTTACCAACCCTGTTTTTATTACTATAATTTGACTACTATGGAAAGTGATAGAAATTCATTGGGGAAAGAGGATAACAAACATAAATCACTCCGTCCAATGTGATTTATATTTGTGATTGTTAGTGTAACGGACCAGAATGAAACAAATCAAATTGAAAGAGGATAATTTTAAAATTTATGTCTTGTAAAGAGTATTGTTATCTTACGGAGTTTATGTCCAGTAAACAAAATGCAACTGCTTTACTATTCCAGGTGCAGGAGTAATCTGCGCATCAGCTGCCTTGTATTCCAGTGGACGTAGCATAGAAACTCTCGTGGATCGTAGTCAGCATCATCAGAGCATTGGTCTGGATAATTCCGAATCCCGTAACTGTTGGTTGGGTATTGCAGGTGGCACAACGGCTTTGGCTTCAGGATGTGCCGTTGCAGCGGCCAGTAGAATGGTTCAGGCAGGTGAGACAATTTCTGTGGCAGGACAGATCGCTCTGAAATCAGCAACAACCATGTCCTCTATTCAAAATGCTCTGGGAGTAGTGAATGGACTGACTCACATTATTGAGAAAGCGGTCAATGAGGAAGAAGTGACATCTTTGGATGTATTCCAGTTTATGTCCTCTGTTCTCTTCTTTACAAATTCTGTTATTTCCGCACATCAGGCACGTTGCCTAATAAGGAGCATTCAAAGAAATGGTACAGAAGGATCTGTTACTATCCGTGGAGTTATCACTAATTATTTCATTGGGCGTACACCCACATTAGTCTCGCAAGCTGTGCAAGAGACACTGCTTAGTATCTGGATATGGGTAAGGAAAGAATTGAGTGCCATTACCAGTAGGCTACTGAAAGGGCTTGTGGCTCTAAAGATGTATGTAACGGAAGTTTCAGCTCTTTTGCAGACTTTGTGGGAAAAATGGAATGAAGAAATATATGTTGTTCTTGGTATGATATGCCAACAATATGGCGTAAAGAATTGGTCAGATATTATAGTGAAAGGTCGCAGAATTCTGGAGCATATTTCTAAGGATGATATGAGAAAATTATGTGACACTGTAATTGCTGAAACAAGATCACAGGGAAACTGGGAAACTGCAGTACGACCACCTGAACAAAACCGGGTGACTTCTGAAGGAAATGATATCGGGGCAAACACCATTGTTCATGAAGAGCCACAAACTACTTTAGCTCGTGAAATAATTAAGATTCATGCAAAGTCTGTAGATTTTCAAGAGGTCGAAACTGCAGCAGAGTTCTTTAAGTACATGAAGTTTATCTGCAAATTTGTGAAAAATGAATTTGAAAAGGAAAAGTTGAAATATGAAGAAACGTTGAAAATTGTACAAACATTTTCTCCAGGTGTGAACATAAAGGACTTTGATGAAAAGTATGGTATTTTTGGAGACAGAAACAATCATTTCCGTCAGCAGGTGTTCAACAAATTTAAACCTGGAGCACAGGAAGGTTGGTTTTCGCTAAAGTTGGCCTATGACTCACAGAAAGCTGTCACTTCAGCACAAGAAGAATCAGGAGGGAATTTCTTTGAAACTGATGAAAGTACTCATACATTCCACCCTTTTGGAAATAAGAAAGGATTAGCCCATGATGGAATGCTGAGTAAAGAGCAGTACTATAAGATTGCAGCAGAATTAACAAAGCAGCATGCTAATAAAGAAAATACGTCACTAACTGTGGAGGGTAATACTGCAGTCATGCTGGTTAATAAGGGTGAATTTGTCATAACAGTAAATAGCTACCTAGAGAATAGAAAAGTTTCTGGCATTGCTGTTATGTTGCACCGTCCTCACGATGGTGACAACTAGACCATTCTGCTGAACTCCTAAATTTCCTGCCTTTGTTTATTTTTACTCAGCACTGATAACATTGTAGACCCTTCAACTTTATCCATTGTTTAGTTGGAATATTCATGAAAACTGCTGTTATTTTTCAAATTCTTGGAACCCTGGTCTTACAGAATATTGTATCTTCCAAGATGAACATCTCATTAACATTTATCGCCATATAGAATTTCTGACACACTTAATGTGTTATTCCATATCCTTACACCAATACACTGAGTGGCAAAGTGGTTGTTGTTTATAATGATGATTGTGTTAATAAGAAACTGTTTTTAACAGTAAGAGGTATTAGGAAATGTCCAGAACTCTCAGCTGCTAATTTAGTAAATTTTCAGTACTGTCATACTATTCATGGAAAGCAATGTTTTGCCACTGTACCTAAATTTACCTTCTTTGGTTTTAATCAGTTAACGTCGAACAAACATCTGCAACTTAAAATATCTCATTGCTTTGAATTTTTCTGGTAAAGATATTTGCCAGGTTCAATGCTAAATTATAACTGAAAATGTTGCATTTGAAGTTTACAGTGGTGACTGTGAAGAGCATGAACATCGGGGTTCAATTAATTATTGTACTGGACCTACGCAATGGATTCCATGGCAACCCGTGAGCCTCTTTTGGATCTTCCTTTCATGAAAGGTCCAAAATCTTGGCACCCTTCATGGCTGTTAGAAACTCTTTCCTGTTGGCACAGACTGTTCCACAGGCCCCAATGCCATTCTGTGCTAAGATATTCGAAAAGACCAATGCTGGAATAAAAATTATCCATATATATTATGTGGCCTTTGTTTTTTATATCTTTCATAAGTATTCTTGCAACTTGTGCTGTCAATATATGTGTGTTCTCTGGCTGGACCTGGATCTGCTTCTTTGCCAGTATAAACAGTAAAGCACATCATGTATCCAGTATTTCTGTAACACGATTACCAAATTTGTATACCCTATTTAGCAATGGTTTTGCAGACATATAGTGCTTGAAAGACAAATACTTTCATCAGTTGACACCCCTGTGCTCTATTCAGAAACATCCATGTAAGTATCCTTGGTGAGGTTAATTATTGGGCACATTTTGAAGAGAGCTTTATAGATCTCTCTTGCTTTGTAGCGCTACACAGCCAGATCACTGAAATGTAGAAATAACTGTAGAAATTGGTATTTGTCTCTGCTAAATATTTCTGAAAATCCAGGAGTTCTGATTAGCTACTATGTGCCCTGAAAGTAGTCTCAAGTGGGTTTCTGACATAATCCCACTTCCACATCTGCCGCATCAAGAACTCTCTTATTTCATGTGTTATTTATTTCCATTGCCAGTCTCTTGACATAATTGAGTAGTTCACAGTGCTGCATAAGCATTCATTTTCTTGGCTACCAGGCCATATATTTCAAAGGGAGTGACTAAATAAACATTGAAATGGTTAACAGCCCAGTTAGAGTCTCCTCAGGCTTTGTTTTCCAGCAGGAGGAGGCATAGACTCTAAATTTATATGCTTAACCAGTTTCACAACACATGGGTTCATTCCAGTAATTCACTTTATCATTCGAATCTCGTCGGTCACGTGTGTAAGTTCAAATCCCACTTCTGACACCAGTGTAACGTGTTTCCGTTACTGATCCCACTTCTGACACCAATGTAACGTCTTTTGAGTTCGAATCGTGTCAGTCACGTGTGTAAGTCCAAATCCCACTTCTGACACCAATGTAACGTGTTGGGTTACTGAAGACGCCGTAGAGATGGTTAATTGGTTTATTTAACAATCTACAAATCACTGCTACAATTAATGATAACAATGTTATGGGTCTCCACACTTTACAAACCCTACAACAAAATCTAACTCTCTCTTCAAGAGTCTTCATGTATTAATAGCGCGGGAGCTATACAAGTCTCACTGAATTACACACTCCAAATATAACTGGTTATCACGAACTATCACTGATTCTCGCACACGTGTCTGTAGCTCGTAACTTGCGAACTGAGAACTCGTTGATAACACACTCTGACTCGTAGGCTTGCTCAGAACTAACTGTGAATAGCCTTCGCTGCTCCTTATGTAGCCTCGTTCCGGACCACTGTCGTCTGGTGCCGTGTTGCTAGCAACGCTGTCCGGAGTTGTTGACTGCTGCCTAGCAACCGCGATATCCCTTTGTGACATCACCGCTGTTGACTCGCTTTGCATAGCAACCAGCGTGCCGGGGGCTCGGCTCGCTTCGACTCCGCTCAGCGCGTCACCGCTGGCGGGGGGGGGGCATCATCCATAGCTTAACATGTCACACTGCTCGTCCCGAATAGCCTAACGGTGCACCCCCGTTCATTTTCTTCAAGGGATGGCTTGCAGTGTCTCCTGTTGTTTCGGCTACTCTTCTCGCAGCGACTATTCTTCGTCCGTTACATCCGCTTCCCTCTTAAGACAAAGCTCGTCTCGAGCGGTTTCCTTTCACTTGCCAGAAGATCGCATTCATCCATCGCTTTCTCCCATGGCACATTCACTCTCTCTGGGGAGGCCGGTTCTTCTATTTTACCAGCTCCTCTTCTGTGCCCTGCTTCTTTTTTCGTTTTGGAGGGGGTCTACCCCTCCACAAGGTCCAATCCTTGATCAAATCTTTCGTCGGCAGTTTCTTACATCGACGTAACAGCTCTTGATGCGTTGTTTGCACTCACTGACGTCGTCGTTCCTCCTGGACTTCCCACCACTTGCTGGTACAAGACCGTGGCGCCAAGTCCTTTCTCCAGTATCCGAAGGTTCCCTGGGGAGTTTCCTTCTTGAAGTAATTTCTCCAATGTTGTGCCACTGTCGCGCGATGGGATATCTTCCTGCAGATGGCAGCCAACTTTATCTGGGACGCATGATCTCCTCGGGTCCAAGATTTATTGAAGATGTTCCTCCGACGCCAATCCACTGTTGCACGACGGGACACTTCCCTGCGGACGACGGCGAATTTATTCTGGGGTCCGCAATTTTTCCGTGTCGAAACTTTCTTTGTCGCTCGTTTCGGTCCCTACGCCTTTTCTTCTTCAGTTCTCTGACCGGTATTACTTCGGCGTCTTCTATGGGTACCTCTCGTAATTCTGCCGCTTCAGGTGTCATATCCACTGAGGCTGGCTCTTCTTCCAGACGTGCCTCCATCTCTTGGCAGGCCATCGTCACTCCGACCAGTATTGCAATGGGGAACTCTTCTTGTTGTGCCGTGCTTGCTTGGGTTCCTCTTGTCTCCGCGGAAGCCTTTTCTCGCCAGGCTTTCGAGTCGGCGTCCATTCTGGCTAGGAGTTCCTTGTGGCTGATCTCCACCTTTTCTTGACAGGAGTCTAATTTGGCCATCAAATCTTTGTCTTTCCTCCTACTTTCCTCCATCTCTTCCTTTTCTTTCCTCCTACTTTTCTCCATCTCTTCCTTCTCTTTCCTCCTACTTTCCTCCTCTCTTCCTCCCTATCGGCTTTCAGTCTGGCCACCATTTGCTCCTGGACGAACAACAGACGTTCCATCATCTTTTCCATGTCCATGTTGTAGCAGTACAATACTCGATGCACAATAATTCAATTATTTGTCGAGGCGTGTTCAAGTTCATAAAACAATTCTGACACCAATGTAATGTGTCTTGAGTTCGAATCTCGTCGGTCACGTGTGTAAGTTCAAATCCCACTTCTGACACCAGTGTAACGTATTTCCGTTACTGATCCCACTTCTGACACCAATGTAACGTCTTTCTAGTTCGAATCGCATCGGTCACGTGTGTAAGTCCAAATCCCACTTCTGACACCAATGTAACGTGTTGGGTTACTGACGACACCATAGAGATGGTCAATTGGTTTATTTAACAATCTACAAATCACGGCTACAATTAATGATAACAATGTTACGGGTTTCCACACTTTACAAACCCTACAACAAAATCTAACACACTCTTCAAGAGTCTTCACATATTAATAGCGCAGGAGCTATACAAGTCTCGCTGAATTACACACTCCAAATATAACTGGTTATCACGAACTATCACTGATTCTCGCACATGCGTCTGTAGCTCGTAACTTGCGAACTGAGAACTCGTTGATAACACACTCTGACTCGTAGGCTTGCTCGGAACTAACTGTGAATAGCCTTCGCTGCTCCTTATGTAGCCTCGTTCCGGACCATTGTCGTCTGGTGCCGTGTTGCTAGCAACACTGTCCGGAGTTGTTGACTGCTGCCTAACAACCGCGATATCCCTTGGTGACGTCACCGCTGTTGACTCGTGTTGCATAGTGACCAGCGTGCTGGGACTCGGCTCGCTTGGCTCCGCTCAGCGCATCACCGCTGGCGAGGGGGGGGGGCATCATCCATAGCTTAACACGTCACAATACACTGTCCCTGGCTACTGTTTTCCTTACACCTGTTTCTTCATTACCTGCATCTTCGCTATCACTCCATCCAGAGCTGTGTAACTGCAGTTCTGAAATATCGTTCATTGTCATTTTTCTTGCACTCATTATAGGGTAAAGTTATTATATATTTAAGTAAACAAAATAATACTAAAATTACTAACACAAGAGTCAGATCCTTAATATTACATATACTTAATTTAAATACATAAACTTGTGAAATGTCAACACAGATGTAAAATGCAAGTAGATAACTGCATGGCAGCCATGTAGTGAACAGTTTTGTACAATTTGAAATGCTTCAAACTATGTATCAACACTAGCAGACCAACAAGAATATGTTTTCATAGCCTATTGAAGTCAAATGGTGCAGAAAAAGGAGAAAATTGTTTATTCATGTGGACTAGGGTCAAATGCTGCATTATTCTTTAATGGGTGCTTGTTCAACTTTAGTCAAATATCTCAGCAATAGGGTTAATCAGACTGTAGTGGTTGAATGTGTTATCATAGATTTATGGTCTTTATTTACATTGCATCTGGTGATACTGTAACAAATGTTAATTTACTCTTAACATAATTTCCACTGTTTTAACATAGACTTTGTATCTTATTTATGGAGGTAAGAATGGGTCACCATTATTTTGAAATGCATTGTATGTTGGTGTCATCTGTAATTCTGTTTTATATACGGTAAAATAAAAAAACATTAACTGGAATTTTGTTTCTGAGTTTGAATGATTTACCACTTGACTTGTCCCCAAAATAATGTTTCCTACTTAAAATCATTCTGTTATCAATGAGTGTGTCTAAATGGATTGATTTGAATTACAAAGTTTCAGGAACCTAAACTAAGCAAAAACTTTGCCACTTAGCACAGATCTGTATAGTATGAATCTGAAAATTTGTCCTTCAGTGATTGGCCAAGGTTTGTAGTTTAGGAGGAGGGATTGTGCTACTCATTCCAGAACCATGTGATCCTAGCATGCAAAGAAACCAGTCAGTCGGATACCACTCTTGAACAAATTTTCAGCCTACAAAATTGAGGGGTGAGGGGTTCAAGGTCAAGCTTTCAGTTTCATGCTGATACATGTATACACTTTCATAAAGAGGTTCATAGAATGAACAGTGAAGGAGAAATTAGAATACATCTCGTTAAATACCAGAATGATTTCAATTTTCAGTTAAATTTGGCATTTGGAATTTAAAGGTTGTTGGAAAAAATTCACTTAGGTTCATATGGGTTCAGTGTCTTGGGTCACCCCTTAGTTAGTTTAGTTAGTTATTAGAGAGGGTGGGTTTCCCCATGCACTTAGACCTGTAGTGGTCCATTGTGCTTCCCTGTATGATTTCTACCAGTCTCTATATTCTACCGGTATTGGTACTTACCATCAGTCCCGCCCAGCCGGCGAGACTGGCTCTACTGGCTGAGAAGTATCTATAATGCTTCCCCCATCTACCGGAGGTATTAGTGACTGCTGTTGGGTGGGAAACGTCCGTAATTTTGGCTCAGTGACCTCCTTTGGAGGTATGAGGTTCTTTTACGTG